ACATAATTTAACTTGAATGGACATAAATATATGTTAATAAAAAAGGGTTCTTTATTCTATTTTATTAAGCATATCATTGTATTGAAAATATTAAAAATAAACTACAAGTGCTTTGTGTGGACAGATACCAATGGCCAACAAAGAAATTAATTATTATTATAAAAGCAGTACCTATATGCTGTCTTTGACAACTGTTACCTTTACAAGAAATGACAGTTTTGATGGTCATGCATTGCTTAACAGATCCTCTATATTTTCTCTGTTTTAAATAGCTATTTGTATAAACTACATGTATTATTTATACAACTAATGGAACTCTTTTACAGGAGTCAGATATTTCAAAAAGTAGTTATAGGGGCTTTTTAAGTCAGTGACCAGAATGTTTTCCAGCTTTTCAGTTGTCTTGCATAAATGAGAATATGGTCTATGAAGTACAAACAGGTTCTAGCAGAGTTTTTTTTCACATGATCGTACCAGTACCAGGCAGAAAATTATTTAGAAATTGAACATGGTAATATAGATTCATATATGTACATGCTCACAGTATGTAGTCTGGAGAACTTTATAGTCTGAAAGGGGCTCTGAACTCTCACAGAAATTTATTGAAGCCACTTTGTATCTGCAAGGAAACAGCTTGCATGTAAGCATGGCCAAAAAGCACAATGGACTATGTCCATTATACCTTTGTGTTTCTGCTTTCACTTGGACTTTGAACAGACGTGGACATTCGTGCACACTGCAAGGTCAGGATGAATAAAATGTCATGCAGTTTTATGGAAACAGTTTAACGCTGAAGATGTGATGGCATTATAAATACCTGTTTGTTACATTTTTCTTTTTAATACATTCTATATGATCAGATGTAGTTTGCTAAATCACCGCTTGACAGTAAGGAGAATGGAAAAGATGAGATAATGTAGTGTATTATTTGTATTCTGACATATTTCTAAGCTTTGAAGTGATCAGTGCCGTGCTTTAAAATATCGACAATGTTCTCTTATACCCAGCATAATTCTGCTTTGGGCATATTTTAAATGAGAGATCTGTCTTACTGGGCTCTTTAATAACAGAAAATCACCGTTTCACTATTTTCCAAATGCTCTGTCTCGTTTAACATATTAAGCAAAAGGAATAAGCTCAAAGAATGGGAAGAAGGTTATATTGTGCATATCTATCCTGATCAAAGAAATTAATTGCTTGAGTAAGTCTTCTTCCAAAAATTAAGATATTTCTTAGATAGGCTTGTTCTGTGATAGCACTGAAATGAGTTATATGTCAGGGACAACTTCTTCTATAATTACATGTGGAAAGTATAGAAAGATATAAAAGTGAAGATACTAGATTACATACTCTTAAAAAATATTCAGTGCCTTTATGTAAATAAACATACAGATACACTAAAGGTTGAATGCAGCACAAATAACTACAGAATATAGAAATAATTACGGAAGTATCAAACAAGAAGCAGAATAGCATTTATGTGGAAAAAAATTGATTTTACATAAATTGACAAAAATACATGACACATTTGAATAATAAAATATTGTAAAATATAAAAAAAAAGTAGAAAATAAAATACATTCTGATATCCACATAGTATGTATTTGTTACTGTAGTAAGTCAAGGAATTTGAATTCAGATAAATTCTTCTCTTGGGGGGAACAGCACAGATTATTTTACTAAACAAAACCCTGCATTCAAAATAAGATGCATGGAATGTATAAGTTTGCAGCAACATTAAATGTGGGCCAGAGAACTGTCAGGATTTCAGAATGCTTCTTTCATAGAAGTACTTCTGATTCCTTAGTTTCTAATACATTTAAAAATAAGATACATAACTTACTTTCATAGTGCCAGGAACTTTTCAAATAGAACCAATGCAAAAGCATTACTGAGCTGCTGGAAATTTTAAATAATTCTTTGTAAATGCCCTAGGTTAATTTAGATCTCTGAAAACACATTAGGAAATTAAGCTGTAATGTGAGCTAATTCAAATTTTAATTTGGCAAAAAGAACGATCCAGCCACACAGTTAATATAAATAGAAGCATAACACAGAGAAATTAATGAGGTTTCCTTTCGTTGAATCTTAAAGGAGGCAGATAATTAGCTTCTTTTGTTATTACTGTGGGATAATGTGGTATTGTCTTCGAGGTGTAAAGTAACTACTGCTTGCAAAATGATGTGTTCATTTGTCTTTTCCTAATAACTATTTACATTAAACTCTCGTAGGATGAAGCAGCCCAGCCACTGAATCTTTCAGCCCGACCGAAAACAGCTGAACCGGTCAAATCCCCAACATCTCCAACACAGAACCTCTTCCCAGCTAGTAAAAGCAGCCCAGTGACAGTGATGAACAAGAGTGGCATCCCCAGCCCGCTCAGTGGATCTCTGGGAAGAGGATCTTCTTTAGGTAACTAATCTGTCCTGGGAAAAGGCGAAAACTGGCAAGTGTTCTACATGAAATCTCAGCTTGATCATACTTCTGAATTTAGTAGCTCTCTGAGCCTATGTTTCCATTTAAAATGGGAAAAAAAGAATTCCAGGAAAACTTTTCAAAGAACTCTTGAATGCCAAGGTTGTACAGGAGAAGACAAAATGATGCAGCAGTGATGTGCATACAAGAAATACAGCCAAGAAATATGTAACACAAGAGATACACATACAAATCGTAGAATCATAGAATTATAGAATGGATAGGGCTGGAAAGGACCTTAAAATCATCTATTTCCAACCCCCCTGCCATGGGCAGGGACACCTTCCACTACACCAGGTTGCTCAATGCCCTGTCCAACCTGGCCTTGAATACTGCCAGGGATGGAGCACTGACAACTTCCTTGGGCAGCCTGTTCCAGTGCCTCACCATTCTCACAGTAAAGAATATATACACATAAGTAAATAGACATACATATATAAAACATGTAAAAGAGGTTTGTATGAATATCTTCCCCAAAGACATCAACTGGGTGTATACATGCAAAGTTAACTTTTGAATTTTTGTCTCTGGATTAAATAAATAGAAAAATATCTTTGCACGCACGTAAAGCCTGACTAGATACTAGACATACGCACACAATGGCTCATGTGATTAGTGCAGCAGTGTAACATACCTTAAAATAAATAAGTTTTCAAGGTCTTGGTTGAATCAGGGTCAGGGAACATTCAGTACCTCCATGGTTTACAGTAAACCAGAAGCCAGGCAAGAAGGTAACTCCAAATGTGGTTTTCAACTATTTCGCCCAAATATAGGGGATATATATACCCAGAAAAAAAAAAAAAATATATATATACATATATATGCACCCAGCAATCTAAAAGAAAACTAATTCTCTGTATTCTGGGAATTAAGTTAATCTTAGAAAGACCATATGCTGAATATATATATGTGTGTGTGCATATATATGTTTTTTTTAACAAAGATAGAAAGGCCAGTTTATTTTATTATTTGTTCTTTTTATTATTGTTCATGTTTTTATTACTTATTCACCCATCTCTCAAAATTTTATTAATTCATATGTTTGCAAATAGGGAATTTTTGACCTGTGTTCAAGATTCTTAATGAAAGAAATAACACTTATTAAGTAATGAAATAAAAATTGATCTAAAACAATGTATGAAGACTACCTTAACGAGTCAAGAAACAGAATCAAGAGCTGCAAAATGCAGATGATCATCCCTAAAGTTCAAATAGTATATTTTAACAGTGACAAAATACTTACTACAGACCACTTACAATCTTAGCTCAAGTGTACTTGTAAAATATATAGAAACACTTGTGAATAATGAACAGATATGTTAAATACATACATTAAATAGATCAAAAGTATGATTTGTTCCATTCCCAAAACACTTGGGAACATCATGATCGCTGAAAGATACTTTCTGCAGCTAGCTATTCTACCTGTCAAATTATTTGCAGCTGTCACTGCACTAACATTATAAAATGGTGTATCAGTTTAAAGTCACAGACTATTCCAGAAAAACAGCTAGAGAAGATATGCCAAAAATCAGCAAGCAACTTCAGCGTTTGTGCTCAATTTTTACAATAAATTGAGATGATTTGGAGTCTAAGTCTCATTAAAAGTCCTGCAAATATGGTTCCCAGCTTACGTAGGCTCCATAATGGAACTTAGATGCTGAATCTGTTCACAGCATTGGAAATTTTACCAAGCAAGAACAATACTTGTTCTCTAATACGCAATGTATTTTATTTTGGAGAGGAGCACCTCATTCAGACAGAAAACATCATAGTTCCATCTATAACATCATAGTTTGCATCTCATCCAGACCACAGTATTAAATCAACTGTTTGGTTCCCAGGATAAAGTATGACAAACCATTAATTTTAACCTTTTTTCTTTTAAAAGAATTCAGGGTCTTTTGAGGTTGAATTTGCTATATTTTACTCAGCTGAACTTCAATGAAGTCATAAGAATATGAAATTTATCTTTAAAGGAGAATTCCAAGTCTTAGCCTGTTTGAGTGTGTTTGTTTTTATACTGGATTGTTAGTAAGTATGAAAACCTAACAAATTCAGGGCTTTTATAGAAGACGTTTGCTTGTCACGCAAATGCACAGGTCATGAACAAACTTTGATTGCTCAGAATTCCCTAGCTAGAATGTATACGCACAAATCTATCTATGTACAGTATAGAGGATACTTCCATGTATGAAAAGTTGAAGTTCATCGCAGTAAAAAAACAAGCACGTCATACACACAAAACAAGCAGTCACCAACTAACTGTTCTCTTTCAGTCCCAAATCAGAAACTATATCCGGGGTACTCATCTTTACCTCTAGCATGCACTTTAAGATGCAACAGGAATGTTTTGTGTGAGTCTGATGCATGTTTAGAAGTTTCTCTTTCTGTCCAGAGTGATGGAAAGAGAACCATTTTTTCTCTACTGATTTAGAGCTTTAGGCTCATGTTAGGGTAATAACAACCTCTGTCCCCCAAAAGTAACTGTGGTTGCTTCTGAAATTGAGAGCCAAATCTCTGGAGTGATAGTTACATAGATAAAGAAATTCTAAAAGTTGACATAGACTTTCATGGCCAAGAAAACAAGATATTTTTTTTTCTCCTTCTTTGTTCATTTTATTAATTATTAGTACATGAAAGGATTCCCACCTAAGCTTCTGTGTACTGTTGTCTTAAACACGCATTGAACTTTGACTTCATGAATATGCTCAGATACCTCCATATGAGGCTGTGCTAAGACTTCAGGGGTTGTACTTGTAACAGCAAAAGTGCACAGACTTATCAATCACTCTGTAGATGAATTCAGCCTTCAAACAGGCAACAATCGCCACTCCTCCTCCTACTTTTGTTAGTTGGGTGCAGATTTAACAGTATGAGAGCTGAATCTGCTTATCCCAGATTGTAATTTGGATAATTAGCTAAATAAAGTGTTTATATTTCTGTTTATAGATATTCTTTCCAGTCTTAATTCACCTGCCCTATTTGGGGACCAGGACACAGTAATGAAAGCCATTCAGGAGGCTCGAAAAATGAGAGAGCAGATCCAGAGGGAGCAACAGCAACAGCAGCCGCATGGCGTTGATGGAAAATTGCCCTCAATGAATAACATGGGTCTAAACAACTGCAGGAATGAAAAGGTAATGTCTCCCCTTACCACATAGTCTGTCACTCATTCTATTTTTCCCTGCACATAGATTCTTATTTCTATATAAAATTTCATCTTAGAGCTTTTAGCCATCTCTGATTTCACGTTAAATACAACTTGTCACTTCACAGTACTGTGCTACAAGCTTCTCTACGTTTACATGACAGCATTCAAAAAATCAGTCTTGTGTACTCTTGATTAAACTGTAAGCATGCATATAACAATGTGGAAAATGAACTGGATGAAGCTACAATTGTCTGTAGACACTGGATTTTGAATTCTGCTTTTGAGAATGACTGGATTGATAAATATGGCAAAAAGGCCGGTTACATACTAGCATGGTTGAATATTACAATGCTATGAAATGTATCTGAGTGTGCTTGAATCTGTAACTCAGTTGCAACAAAGTATTTAGGCTCAAAACAGTGCTTTTGGCTCTTAATTTCAATGGGAAATTAGAGATCAAAGTTCTTTGTTGAATCTTGGCCGTAGTTTCCAAACACTAAAATGAAACAGGGCACTACAATATAATGGTAACTGAGAGAAAGTGGTGGGAGAATGTGACAAGCATTGGACTGAGCAGGATATCATATCTGGAACGTGAGGAAACTGTTTCTATCACACACACTTTAAGGACCACTCAGTAGACAAAGTATCTTGGAAAATTCTTTGTGATGTTCTGCTCTGTGGCCTTTCTAGGCCTCCAGGAGCAGGTCTCTGCATGTGTAATGGAGCCAGTGAACATGGAATCAGGCAATTGGCTGGGCTATAAGGCAGCCTTTTAATGAAGAATGCTTCTCTGTTAGCTTCCCTAGAGGTGGCTTATGCTGCAAAAAATACAGTACACAATTTACTTTTCACCACTTACACAAAATCTGTTATATACCACAATACTCATTCCTGTTAACTAGAGAGGGAAAAATATTATCCCGGTAATCACTATGGCATTGGCAAATAGGAACAGTATGATGCAATTTTGTAATGAATGAAAACTGACACATTCATTAGCCTATAAAGCAACTAGTGTTTCAGACTATTTTCTGGGGAAAAGGAGAAAAGAAAAAAAAAAAAAAAAAAAAAAAAAAAAAAAACAAAAAAAAAAAAAAAAAACAACAAAAAAAAAAAAAAAAAAAAAAAAAAAAAAAAAAAAAAAAAAAAAAAAAAAAAAAAAAAAAAAAAAAAAAAAAAAAAAAAAAAAAAAAAAAAAAAAAAAAAAAAAAAAAAAAAAAAAAAAAAAAAAAAAAAAAAAAAAAAAACAGACAAAAAAACCAAACCAAAACAAAAAAACCAACCCAAACCCAAAACCATAAAAAAGTAAAAACCGGGTAGCTTTCAATGCCTATAATTTATTAATGAAAATTCTGTGATATACCTGTATACTAAAAGGTAGGTTCTTTGTATCTTGGGGGATGGAAGATTATATTATACTCTAAAAAATAACAATTTTTAGTCATGGTTGAGTATAAGACTTAGTAGAATATTAACTATATCTTAACCCATGAATTTGGTGATACTATGATCTTTCCTCAACCCACAAGGAAATACTCAGTGAGTAAATGGATTCTAGCAAGGCACAGAAAGGCAAAGGAATGGTGTAAACAGACCCATCAAACATTGATACATACCTTTTAATCTACATTTTATATTTTTGCTTGATAGGTTTGCTGTACTCAAAACAAGCTAAAGGCTCAGTGTCTATGAAAAAGATTTGTTAAACTGTTGCTACACAGGATTAACAATGCTTTTACAAGTCAAATTCAGAGGCTAATAAATATTTATTTCCTCTAGCATTAGTTTAAACGTCAACATTGAAAAACTCATTTAATACAGATTGATACTATGAAAAAATAAAGAAATTAATAACTGATCAAGCAGGTCATATTCCAACAACACTCTAATTGTAAAGTCAGTGTTTGTCTTAACTAAGAGGTAGGGTACTAAAGGCCATGTTATAAAAATAAATGTCACACCTATGATCAGTATTAAGAGCTTATAAAATTATGCTTTTTTAAAAATAGATTTTGTGAGTTTCAGTGACTTGACATTTAAAAATATCTAATACACTATAAGGGCTATTAAAAAAATTCTTAACATTTGATTTGACTTTGAAAAATAAGTATAAAAATGGCATCCACTTATTTATCAGATCTGCCCCTGAGTATTTTCAGTACCATGTTTATGTCTCGTATTCGATATAACAAGTTTCTATTTCATCTTTCACCTTTAAAAGCAGAATCAGTAAATATTTCAGTGACTAATCTGAAATTTCTTTTTTGTGCCCGTTACTAGCAATATACAGATTAATGCAGAGCATCCAGCATCAGCAGAGGAATCAGGCAGGCAGAGGAAAAGAATTTTTGTTTTATTTTATTTTTTTACTTGCAAACACAGCGGAGTCAATTGGAACTCTTTAATAAATATAAACAACATCATCCTCAAATGCCATCTTTTATGGGGACACTTTTCATGGTAATACTTGCAACTTTTAAAACCGAAGAATAAAATAGCAGCAAAGAAATCTGTTTTTAAGACTCTTAGTGCCCTTATATAATCCTGCTGGGTTTATTTATTGAGCATGTACTGTACAGTGAACCATTAAGGCAGGAAAAAGTTGTAATACGTTCTCTTGTTTTACCTTTGGTATGCTATTCTGTTATTTTTGCTCTATAGATGCAAGAAAAGGCAGAGCTTACAAAAATGGGATGTAAATCAGTCATTTTAAATAATGATATATCCCCACTGTCTATCCTAAAGAAAGTAAAAGAATTAAGTCAGTCATGAGTACTTACTAAGGGAATGTATTTATATTTTATAGCAAGTATAAAATACATTAAAACCAGAAGCATCCTTTGCACGAACAGAATTCTAGAATACTTTTTTTTTCCCCCTTTACCCTCTGCTTTTTAGTATTTACATTATGTTGTATACTCTAAAAATGGTGGGGAGGATGATCAAAATGGGGAGGAGATGATAGATCAATTCAAAAAGCATAATGTTGAAATAACTGTGTACCAAGAAGACTGTGCATAGTTTCTCTCATAATCCCAGTGAAGCTTTGATAACATAGTTTCAATTTTGGATTGGTTTCTTTTGAAGAATTGGGACCCTATGTTTTCAGGACCAAATTTTCAGAAATTGGGTTCAGGTAATTAGACACGTATAAATGAGTAGCTAGAAGCCAGCACCAGAAAAAGATGACAAATTAATTGCCTGCAGCTGGTTTAAAAAAAGCTATTGAGTTCTGGTCAGTTACTGGTCTTCAAGTTCAGATAGCTGGTAATAGTTTGTTGTGCAAATGATTGCGCTTACAAAATTATGTACGTAGCTTCAAAGCCTGGGCTTAGGCCTTTTTGAAAATGTGTCATTTAAATCTCAAAAAGCTTTGTATTTGGCTAGAGACACAGAATTGAAAATTGCCTCTGTTCATATTCTGCTGTTCAAAAAAATCTACAAAGCTTTAAAAGTGCTCACAGAGATTCGCTCATCAGAAAGACCAAAACAAAAACATGCAGCACTCTGGCACAGTCCAACTTTGTCATTTGCTAAAGCATTAAGGTTAGGCTATACTTTTGACTTCTGTGGACATGTACAATACAAAGTTATTTCAGTTTGAGTACTGTTGTGGGTTAAGGTATGTAGGTAAGCACCACACAACCACTCACTCCTCTCCAGTGGGATTGGGAAGAAAATTGTGAGAAAAGGAGGCAGTTTTAGAAGGAAAGCAAAAACCATGCATGCAAGCAAAGCAAAATAAGGAACTCATCCACTACTTTCCATATCCAAGCAGATGTGCCAGCCGTCTCCAGGAAAGCAGGGTTTCAGCATGTATAACAGTGGTTTGGGAAGACAAATGCCAAAACTCCATTTCTACTTCCTCCTTCTTTCCCCAGCTTTTGTTGCTGAGCATGACATTGTATGGTGTGGAATACCCCTTTGGTCAGTTTGAGTCAGCTGGCCTGGCTGTGTCTGCCCCGCAGTCTTGTGCACCCCCAGCCTACTCGTTGGCAAGCCAGCATAAGAAACAGAAAAAGCCTTGATGCTGTAGAAGCATTGTTGAGCAATAACTAAAATGTCCCTGTGTTATCAGCACTGCTTTAGTCACAAATCCAAACCTCAGCACCATGGTAACTAAAATTAACTCTATCTGAGCCAAAGCCAGTACAGTGCACCCAAAGCAGAGTCATAATAGCAGAGTTGACTTTTTCTACTTTCTGACTGAGGAAAGAGAAGAAATAAGTGTGTCAGTGGTTTCACAGAGTAAAACACAAACACTGGGGAAGGGGGGAGAATTAGAAAAAAATCCAGAAAATGGGCTACAGAGCTCTTTCTATGTGATATAAGCAAAAGTAAAATCATTAAAAAATTGGCTTTGTTTTGAGGATATGACTTTTTTCCAGTCAAGCCATATTTACCTTCAACAAAAAAAACCCAACTTGTACTTAAATAAAATTTGCATTGCTACAGCTACTTGTATTTATTTTAGTATTTTGAACTAGAATGATTGCCTAGATTTACTTTGATTTAAGGCTTTAAATGAACCTGAAAATGCTATATAATTTATAGGGTAACTGACATTATTTTTGAAAGGACCAAATCCTATCTCTTTTTCTGCAGAAAGCATGAAAACACTGACAAAAAACACTTAGGAAAATCTTTGTAGAAAAATTATACACAGAAGTGTATTCATTTCATTGGAGAAAAATATATGAAATCAAGATAACATATACCAAATTAATAATCACAACATATCTGCTAGATCCAAAGATATACCCCCACCTTCCCATTTACTTATCCGCAAACTTTATTAATTGAGATGTGAGAAGAAGAATAATTTAATATAATATTTTTATGTTTATATTCCATTCCCAGTCTTTTGTAGATTTACAGGCAACTGTGTATTTGTAGTAGGAAACCAGAATTAGCCCCAAAATAAATGACATGAGTCATCACTTACTTCCTGGGAATTATGGTACTTTAGCACCTCCTATAATG